GGTTTTTTTAAAGCATGTCTCGTACTCATTCACATGGCAGCAATCACCATGGGGAGTTTTTAGTGGGTGCCGACAGGTCAAACGCACCATTATCTTAAAGTGGTCCCTGAAGCGAGCTAAAATGATTACATATTGGCCGTTACTCAGATATTTGTTCTGCTGCGCTGCACTTAGAAATTGATGTTCCATGAACCCTGGATATTGTTCGCATAAGGTCACGGTTTGGAATTTCATGTAGGTGATGAAACGGCTGCAAATTTATTGAGAGGCATTAAGAGAAAGGCTCTCACTGTACTGAGATGATCAGGGAATGAAGATGTAGAAAAATAATCCACTGTGATAACGAATTTAGTATTTTCCATTTTCCATGCATATTTGATTATCTCCCCATCCCAGACTTTTTGACAGTTTCATGTGAGTCAGAATGACCCATAACTTGTCAGAAACCTCAGTGTGGATGATGTGAACTTTCCTCTCCGTCTTCTCAGCAGTGTGTAAAAACCACTGCCATGCTTTGTTATGACAAAGGTCACGGATAACGGATGATCTGCCTACAGTCCCCTAATGTGAGAACAAAGACTTTGTCAAAATATATTCCAGCGACAGAGCGGGTGGGGGGGATAAGTTACATTGTTTTGGGGATAGGTTTTCCAGACTGAGCGATGTGAAGACAGGCCCTGGCTGTGGATTTACTGGGGCTCGTTCTAGTCCGTTAATCCTTGTATCTCTTTGAGTCTTTCAGCAGGTTCCTCCTCACGGGCTCTGAAGTGGCTGCCCTTCCTGTGCTCGCCAATAATTCTACATCCTGCTACTCAATCCAGCCTGTTGGACCAGCGAGAAGGGAGCAAGACTGACCTAAAAAGAGCTAAAATGAGGCAGGTTACTGTGAATGAAGCTTCACTCAGAAAAAAAATATTGAAATCTTAAATCACCAAAATCTCCTCTTGAATTTGTGGTAGGACTTTGGAAATGATTTCAATTTAAATGGTTGGTGGGTTCCTTTTTAAGCATACATGCATTTTCAGACGTACTTGTAAACTTCTGTGTTACTTAATTAATTGATCTGAATAGATAAAGACAATTCTTTATACAAAAATACAACTCAGTGCACTAAGGAAAACTTGCTTTTTGGTGTGAAAAATGTTCATATTTTAAACATTTAAGCCATGAGTTTGGATTATTTAGCAGGCCCATCATGCAAATATCTCAATCTCTTTGAAATGAAGGAAATTCAAACTAAATAATAGGAACAAAACTATGTGTGTTGAAGTGTGACAACTGCTGTACCAAGAGGTGTCTCCACATTTTTCACATGCTCTCTCAACAAGTGAGCAGTTTGTGCAGCGCCGGCTCCTGTTCTGTATAAAATAATCCATATGTCTGCTCGTCCGGAGCGGGGGATCCCATGCCGTTTCTGGGCCATACGTCAGGCTTTTTATGGGCTTCAGATGAGGCATGATGAAACCGAATCAGGTCATGCCAATTGATAGACATTCTCCTCAGCTATCACATGCACACACAGTCCTTTTAAAGTGCACTGAAAAGACATCCCCCCTCCCTCCTTACAGCCGTATAGTAGCCCCCCTAGAAGCTGTCATCATATTGTTCTCTTAAATATTTAACTTCCTCAAGAGATTGAGCTGTAATATAAGAAATTATCCCTGTAATGCCCGCTGACTGCTACAAACAGATGTGAAATGTCAGGGTAGATCCAGACTGTAATCAGCCCCCCTATAGACACGATATCATATTCTTCAACTGGGGTCAGACGCCTTGCTCTCTTTTTTCATAAAACCCCTCAGATTTGTCGCAAGGTGGTGTTATATGGGCTGTGGAGAATTATTAGTCCAAGGACACATCTTTTTATTGGAATCCTGAAGGCTTTACAAAGCAACAAACCGCCTTACAAGGCCCAAGTTTCTCCACAACATGAGTTAAAGTCTGCAACAACAAAAAAGCCGGTTGTGAAGTTAAAAGGTTTAAGTTAAAAGTCGTCTTCTGGTTGCTTTTTTTTTTTTTTTTTTTTTATCAGTTGAGGAGATCTCGCTCAACAGCTAATGGGAGTTAAGTTTCTATCTTCTCACTGCTGAGTGCAACTTTAGCCGGCAGTGATTCATCACTCCGGCTCATGTCACTCACTTCCTAACGTGGTCAGGCCTGCAAAGTCCCGAGCTGCAGACGATCATCTGATGAAATATCTTAAGAGTGATATCCTAATTTTAAAATGTATCTTAACAGAAGCAACAGATTCTGTGTTGTGGATTTGTGAATGTATTCTTCCAGCTGAAGTTAGTATCAATGCAGATGAAGCTAGAAATACCCTTCCCTGCTCTCAATAACTGGCATCAGATGTCTTCCCGGTGTATCTAGTCCCGTAAAGAGAAAGGGGATTCAAATAATCCAATCTTCTCCTACAATAATGAGCCAACCTCGCCTGAGAGGGATGACCCTTTGAGGCTGAAACCCATCATTATGGGTTTAGCCCACTAGGCATGTGTGTGTTGGTCTGCAAGGTGGCCACCATCAGGTAGTCTGCTGGGCCCGGGCCCTTCAGCCCTGGAGCCAGGGGGGCCCTGGAGCAGGCAGAGCAGAGACACGGTGGCCTGACTGATATTCATGTGAGCCGGGGTAAGTGTAGCCTTCAGGCAGTGCAGGGCGCTGGAGCGTTACATTTCAGAGAACTGAGGGGCAGAATCGAACTTGGAAAACTAAGCTGATGTTGAGTTCTGCCTCGGTGTCATTATGCAGCAAAACGTGTTAAACTGAAGAAAAGAAATCAGTCTTTTACAAATAAACATATTTACAACTTACAGTACAGTTGTGAGTTTGTAAAGTAGACCCGATATTTGTATGCAATTAAAGAGTGCATTTTCAGCTCTAACTCAGTTTCTATAGAAGCTGCTGTTCTTAATGTTTTACACAACACCTAAAGACATGAGTTTCCATCTGACTGCATCTAAATGATGTGAGAGCATGGTCATTAAACCCAGGCCTCCATCCAATAGTTAAAAAGCAAACACACTGAGTGAGAAAGCATTGCTTATTGACATACATTTAAAAAATAAATAAATGAAGGACATTGTGATAATGATGAAACACCAGTCCAAAAAAAATGGAGGAAAAAACATACAAGCATCAGTATTGCTGCAGATAGTAAATGTGAAGTGATTTAGAGTCTGAATCTGCAAAGTAATTTTTTTTTTTTTTTACCAGGAAAATCTCATTTAGATTAAAAATCTCACTTACAAGACTGAGATTTGCAAATGTCAAATATGTAAATAAAAATAATCTTTGGGAGCAGAAAAGTAATTAAAACATTCATTATTTTTCCCTCCAAAATGTAAATCCAAGCCTAAACTGGAAAAATAGAACTCAAGTAAAAGTACTTCAGACTTCCTGATTGAATTACTTATATTTCAAATGTGATATGAAAGATTTTTTATTTAAAACCAAATTATTGTTTCAACAATATGTAAAAAAAAGTGACAGTAATAAGAGGAACTAAAAGGCCTCTTATTGTGAAGGGCTTTACACTCCATTCACTGGACATGATGAGGATTTCTACAGAAAAGTTGTTGCTGTGAGAACAGGCTCCTGTATGACAAAAATCCTCTTTGTCTGCTCCACAGATAATAGAGCAAAATGTGGCCTGAGGGAGATAATTTGTTCCCAGATCTTCAGATGGCAATATTTTCATTTGAGCCCAGGAGGGGATCTCTTCAATTGCCAGCCTCCATTGTGTTCCAACATGGGGCACGAAAGTCTTGTCAATTAATATTTCTTTTATTCCAGACCACGGAGCGCCTGAGTGATTTCAATTATACACCAATTAAGAGGTGTTTCCTTTTATTTACAGGCTTTGATTCCGTGCAGATCCATATTGTTTGAACGTAAGACAGAAGCCGGGTGTTAAATCATTCGAACATTTCCTCGGCTTCATGTTTTCTCCTCGATTGCAGCTTTCTGTGTGTGTGTCCCGGGTCACAAGCACAACAAAAGGACATTACATTCTGTCCCAATACAGAAAAAAAACAAATCCCATTACCGGGATTCACACACGGAACAGGCTGTGTTTTGCGTGACAGGACTTTGTGAATAGTTAGAGACAGGTGGAGTATGATTCAGCCAACAGGTTAACATCAAACACTCACAGTCTGAGTCAGGTCCAGCCCAGACAAAAAGCTGAACTTGTGAACCTGTTGGAAGTAAGTTAAAGGTCTGATTGCTTGTTGGAATGGGCCGATTGGAAGTGACAAGCGGAAAATGTCTCTGTCTCACACACTTTACTGCTTACAGCCACTTGACTTCAGATTTCCTGACAGGTCTAAAAAACATTTGGGTTTATCAAACACTCTCTGGGGCAACAGAAAATGTTTGAGAACTTCATCAGGATATTTTTAAAGCCTTTTTTTTTTTTTTTTGCATCTGTGAGTCAGTGTGTGAGGAACAAAAAGAACAGCATGGGGCTGAAAAATATATTGAAAATCTACAAAAACAAGGATGAAGTTATAGTATAACAAGCAATAATTCACTTCTTGAAGGCTACGGTGAATAACAAGGATGTCATTCAGCTTTAAAAAAAAATATTGTATATTAAAGTAAAACTGACAAAACAATAGTCAGAAGACACAAAAGCGTATGGACTGCTATCAAATATAGTCCCATTACAGTAATTAGAGGAATAAGAAAGACGTCTTCATTGGGAAAAATTAAGAAAAGGTGTAAAATAACTAAAAAAAAAAAGCCACAGATGAGATAAATATATTGTGTTTAAAAATAAAAGGATGAATCAGGCATCAGATTTTAAAACACAGAGTTCAAACAGCCACGGTTCATTCTCTGATTTTCTCTCTCTCAAGAACACAAGTAGGAGAATGAGTCATAAGATGCAATCATGGAGTTAAAATAGATGACTTTTATTCAAACATCAACATGAGTTTAAATAAAACAGAAAACACAATTCAGTCTAAAATACACGGCACGTTTCTTCTTATGAAAATAATTTCTGTACAAAGGTGTCTTCTTTTTTTTTTTTACAAAGACACAGAGCAGCTACAATAAGTATGACAAAAACATATTAGAAAACTACACAGTCATGTTTTTTTTACATGTGAACATTTTTGTTGCCAGTTGATAGACAACCCAATGAAAATATGGCACTTTGGGAGCATGACCATTTCTTTACAAAGCACCAGATAACAATATGATTCCCAGTTAGGAAGCTCAGCCCCAGTGCTAGATTCAAATCGAGGCCTACTAAACCAGTTTATGGAGCATGCTCCCAAAGAAAGATGAATGTTAACATTGAGTGATAAAATACTTTTCCAGTTCACACCTCAGTTCCTTCCCGGTTGTATATGAGGTTATTCACACTGAAATGGTTGGTCAAGCTCTGTACTGATGTGTAATAGTTCATTCTGTTGTTTTCAGAGTTCAGAGGGGAGATTAATGAGGGCGAGTACGAGCCCAGTCCGGACATGCCCCCCTCTCTGCTGTGACTCAGTCCGCCGTGATGCCCGGAGCCGTACTCCCGCTCCCCTCCCCGGGACACCTCGCTGCCGCTGCCCGCCAGCAGCGCGTTCACGCTGGACACGAAGCTGCCGAAACACGGGCTGTGCTCCGCGGAGGGAGACGGCGACGACTTGGGCTCCGTGGAGGCCGGGGAGCCGTGCAGACTGGGCGGGGAGGAGCTGACGAGGCTGGCGGTGTCGGAGAGCTTGTTTTGCGGGCTGTCTTCTGACTTCACCGGGAGAGAGGTGCTTTCAGGGCCGGTGATGTCTGATCTCCTCTTCCTCTTCCGCCTGAAGTTCCCGTTATCGAACATTTTCTCACAGTTTGGGTCCAGCGTCCAGTAGTTTCCTTTACCTGCAAGACAAGAGAAAGGGTTAAATGTCAATTTGCCAAATTCACAACACATGATGATTTTGACGTTAACTATATTTCTAATCAAAAATGACAACTGACACCTAAAGTGTATTTAACTTAGTAGTGTGAGTTTATCTAAAAGAAACTTTTTTTAAATGAAATATCTCATGAATGATTCATTTTTGTGTAAAGTTCACACTCACCAGGGTCATCCTCGTCCCGTGCCACTTTTTTGAAACAGTCGTTCAGAGACAAATTGTGACGGATTGAATTCTGCCATCCAGCTTTGCTCTTCTTGTAGAAAGGGAAGTTCTCAGCCACATACTGATAAATCTGGCTGAGAGTTAACTTTTTGTCCTGCGCGTTCTGAATGGCCATGGCTATCAGCGCAGAGTATGAATAAGGTGGTCTGACCATCTTAAAGAGTTCCTGCTGACTGGATATGGACAGCCAGCCCAGGTCTGCTCCACCAAACCCGGTTGGAGGAGGCGGTAAGAACTGCCTCTGGTTGGACCCGTATCCGGACTGGATGTAGGAGGTGCCGTTGTTCCCTGGGAGGTACGGAGAGGAGTTGATGCTGGGTCCATTCAGCCACAGGTACGGGTTCGCGGACGGAGAGGTGTAGTCTCCGAGGCCGTAGCTGGAGGGATGTGTTGGCGGCCTCTGAGGGTGGTGGTGGAGGTTCTGTTGGTATACACCGTAGTTATCGCAGTACACGGCCATGTCCAGGATCTCCTGCGCTGTGGTGCTGAATGGGGCTGGTCTGCTGGTTTGATGGTTGGTGTCCAAAAGCGTTCATAATCCGCCCGAGACAAATTCCCAAAACGTGATTTCAGAGTGAGTCTCTTCCTTAGGACTGAACTCATCCTCAGAGGGAGGAGTATTTATGCGCAACGCGCGGAGACGCTACAGGTAGCCCATTGAAGAGAAGTTTGGGGATGGTCCCACCCCTCTTTCTGTCCCACTACAGACCCTCACCTCCCTATCAAAAAGCATCGATACTGCCTTCAACTGCGACGCTGAGTCTCGTGTTATTTAAAGGTAGATTATCATTAAAGCATGTTAGTGACATATAACTATTGCCCGTGCGTAATTACGCACAAGCCTTTTTTTGGCAAAAAAAATTTCACATGACACTTTTTGATTAATTTATTATGATGATGTATTGAATGTCAGCTGACAAATGAATACTAACATTTTTATTTTTGCCTGCACTTTTTGTCAGGATATAAAAATTAAAACTACAATTCTGATTTTGATCTCACTATGGTGATCTTTCGCATAAACGGCAAACATCTACCCTACATTTACAAACTAACAAACTCTGAGATAATCTGACTCAGAATATCAGTATATTTAATATTATGTGTAAAATTGGCTACTTTTTATGAGCACTTCTAAGGAACTATAAATACTTGTTTGACTATAGTCTAACAATCCCCTTGTTTTCGTGCACTGGTTGTGAACATGTCAGAACTTGTTTAACTTTCTTCACCATAGTGTCAAACCCAAACACCGAGGACCCGCAAGTTTGTAACAAGTCGCATTCACTTTAGAGACATTCGTTTGCAATAAACATTGGACGAGTGCCGTAAGTTTAGTGTCAACAAGTGACTCGTGGAAAAAAAATACCCCCAGCAGGCTCACCTTTTTTTTTTTTAAGTCATAAAGACACGTCTGTCTTGTAATTACGTCATCCATATTTTAACATTTTACAACTTTAAATAAAAAACTGTTCGACAGATTTTTCTCTCTAAACCTTTCAGTGAGGGAATACATAGTTTTACTTTTTGAAATAATTGAAATTGCAAATAAAACCTCTCTTCTTTTTTACATAAAAATGTCGAATGCTTCGATGGGGGCGATTAAAAATAGACTTAACTTAATACTTCAAAATACTTTTGAGTTGTCAAGTAGTCTTACACAGAAGCTGCAATGTGCATTTATTGTCCTAAATATGTATCGTATTCGTAGGACTATGCAGTGAGCACATAGTTAATTCTAAGGATAAAAAACAGCTCAGACTTTTTTTTTCTTTTTCACCAGGGATCCTGGTGGTTTCTGGAGCCGACCTCTGGCAGGCAAATGGTGAGAGTTTCGATGGAGGGGAGAGAGGAAGAGGCCACAACAGCCGAGCACAGCGATACTTTAGTTGCTCTGTTGGGTTTGTATAAGCGTCCATGTAATTCAGAACTAAAAATAATATTTAAAACATGTTCAACGTTTCGCATTTTCCAGCTGATTTGGTCTCTACGCTCGTTCTGCGGCGTCTAAAAAACATCTGGAAGATAATATAATTCATCTCTGTGGTCAGTCCAGTGAGTCGTGGTCTGCACAGGTAGCTGCTGGACTCCTGCTCTAATCGGCACAACATTCCTCCTCTCCATGACCTTGATGTAATTGTTTGGCTCGGAGGTGTTGTCCCGACCACAGGCTGTACAGCGGTGCACTCCACAGGGGGGGAGTGGCATTTAACCCCCAGATGAAAACAACACAACCTGTTAGGTGTTTAACAGCCAGTACAGCTAATTACTGATGACTGCTGAGTGGACTTCTGAATGTGAAAAAGAAAAACCCGGGAAAGACTGTGTGATCCTCCTCAGACTGACACTAACATATTTAGAATCTTGATGAGGGTTTTGTATTGCAGGGGTATCAGGATCCCGCTATGACTTTATAATCGAATATGTAGTTTATATCTTTAAGAAAATTACTGTTTTAAAACCCTAAGAAGACATTTAATATACTGAAGTTGTTAGTTCTTGTGAATTCAAATAGGACAATATCAGAAATTAGGGGAAACAAATGGATTTCAAAGCCTTTGATTGATATTTTGTGTTGTTTTCCACCCCTCAAATTAAGTCACAAGGTGTCAAATGTGACAATCCCAAGCCCCCTGTGTCACTGAAGAGTAATAATTCAAACAGGCTGACTGTGTATGTGTGTGTGTGTGGGGGGGGAGAGGGATGGGGCTGGAGGTCTATTGTTACCCTGCCATGTCTGTCTTCATCCCCTGTTTCCTCCAGCTTTTTAAGGTCATGGGAGCTTTTCTTTGGGCGATCGAGTCAATCACGGTGGGGTCAGAGAGGCACCACCGCAGGCCCTTCAGGCTGAGCGTGGAGGAGAAGCAGTGCTGCAGGTGAGAGGGGAGAATCAGACACACACTCACACACACAGTTTCTCTGCCTTTAAGCATGCATCAGCACTTTTTTAAAACTGGCTGGATTCATCCAAGCCCCCAGGGGTTGAATCAGGCCTGTTCCAGCCTGGGCTTAAACCACAACTTGTACGCATTCATTTTTATTGCTTTAAAGTAATTACCCTTCTACTTGAAGCACCTATATAATATAACAATGAAAGGCCAAAACCATAAATTCTGAATGCAAAAAACAGATTATCCATTTGAATATGCAGGAGCTTTTTCTGCTCTATGTCTCCCTCCAGTGGAGGAGCAAAGCACAACAGGCACCACAGTTTAACGCCCATTAAAAATGCACAAGGGAGCAGAGTTTAGTGTGAAAATACGAAAAAAAAAGCAGCCCCTTGCAGAAAGTGAGCTCCTCTGCAGCTCCCTGAGTTTGCAGGAGAGGAAAGGAGATTAAAGACACTTGAAGAGTTGTGATGCCAGACTTGGCAGGCAGAGTGACTGTGTGGCCTCGGAGGATCCTTCATTTCTAAACCCACTTGTCGTTATTCTTCTGGATGCCAAAGACAAATCCATCGCAAGACACATTAATAATAGCTAGCTGAGCTCTGCACTTTCTTCAAAGTCCATTTTTTAAGAGTTTAAAGGGGTGAATAATGGGTACTTTTAAGAACAATGTACTTACCTTTTCTGCATCTGCTGCTTTGACAATCTGCTGACTTATAATAAACTTCAGAACTCATATTTACAATGAAGTATTTTAAATATATGGTGTATGGAGTCCATACTGTTTATGTCAAAAGTTATTTTTATCATTTAATGTTAATACATCCTTCTTTGATTTGATTTGTTTATTGTGCAAACTATGTGTGTCATGCAAGAGAGAAGTCTGATGATTAATGGGACTAACCCGGTTCAACAAAGTTTAAATTAAGAAAAAAAACAACATTAATCCAAAACTTTGTGAGATGTTTGCAACAGCGGCAAAAAAAAAATCTTCCTTTTCCCAGGCAGAAACCTCCATAGAACCAGACTGATTGGTGTGCAGTCATCTGCCATGAGCACATAGGCTCTGAACGAAGAACTCATTATAAAAGGCTAACAACATACTTTTACAAAAGTTTTAGATAATTCTAGTTTAAATGAATCTACATCTTTGACTCTGATTTGAATGTAGGCGTAGAGAGATTTTCTCCTTTTAGAGATGTGAAAGCAAACTGACTTCTGCTTATTGTAATCTGAACATCTGAGTGAAGTTTACTTGAAAGTATAGGGAACTCTTTAGTTTGCTTCAAAGGCATTTGGGTAAACAGCCTTGTCCCAAATTTCATTTTTTGTTCACACATTAATATCTCCAGGTAGTCGTCTACCTGCAGGGCCAGAAGCGGAGAATCTTTTTCTTGCTAATCAGACGTTCCTCTCTGTGGAATCCCCTCTGACCAATTACTGTTCGGCCCAGACAGTTTGTGTCCACGGGCTCAGGAAGCAGCAGCCCTGTAGACAGCACACCAGCTGAGGGAGAAATACATCCAAGGTGTCCTTCTGCTTCACCGCTTCTGGTGGCATTAGCTTAATTCTTTCCTCCACTGGGGAACATTTACACCTCTGCTTCTAAAAACCTCCTCAGGGAGATCGGATGTGCCTGGTCTGGTAGAGTCAAAATCACATTCTGCCTCTAAATATTAAAACTGTGCTTATAATTTGACGAAGCATGGCTATTAATTTGACTTTAAAATATAAACAAACAAGCTAAATGTTTAGTCCACTGTCGAAGTTACTCATCTGGACAGTTTGATGTGGCAGGCAGAGGCAGGATGCACTAATAATAGTGTCCAGATGAGGGCAGCATTGCTTTACACATAACACCTTTAGAGTCACTAAATAAACCTAACTCACCACAAAAACATATATCACTACGGCAAAACATATCTTAAAATAGAAAGTGATCAGTGTATTAAATTTTGTTCTCCAGCTGTTCAGAAATGCTGATGCTGCGGACGTATCAAAACAAACAATATTTGTAATGACAAACACAATTTGTTTATGTGTGAGGATGTTTACATACTTTTAGTGGATGTATGTGCAGATATATATATGTAGGTAGATTTGTGGATCAATATGCAGCTTTGTAAGTAAACAGATGCAATATTTGTTTATGGTTAGTTTAACCCTTCTACAGCACATCCATGTCATCTGTCTCTTTTATATTTGTACAACTAACTGACTGACTAAATAAGGATAGTCTTCAAAAACCTTTACAATAACTTAAGCTTACGAGTTATTAATCATATTCCAATAATAAATGAATACATTTTGCTCTGAAAAGGTCAAAAAGATGAGGATGTGTTTAAATGTCACATGTAAGCATGGGTGTGTATGATAATTAATCATATTTTGCCATTTAACAGTCAAAACTATGATAAAATACCCTTTCTCAGTAGAGTCATCGTCATGAGTTTGTCCCTATTGGTGGTGATTTATGAAACATAAAATAATTAAATGTTTGCAAGAGAGGAGGCAGCAGGTGAGACTGGGGAGCATCACATCCAGCACATGGACAATCTGCAATGGCGCCCCCCAGGGGTGCGTCCTCTCCCCACTGCTCTTTTCCCTCTTGAAATGACTGCAGCCCAGGGTTACCTTCTGTGGAACTC